TGATTTAAAGGCTCGCCGAAAGGCATTAATGGATCGAGGTTTATGTTTTATTTGCTTTTCGAAAGGGCATCCAAGGCGTTTCTGTGCTCATAAAGATGAAAAATGCAGACTGTGCAATGTCCAAGGTTTACATAATTCGTTAATATGTGACGCCGCATCGAAAGATTTAGAGACGGATACTTCCAATCAGACAAAACAAACGCCAATCCCTGAAGCTTCTCTTTCGCTCTTATGTAATGAAAATAATAACAAAATTAAAACACCGACTTCCGTTCTTTTACAGACGTTTTCGGCAACAGTTAGGTGTAAAGGGGGGAACGAAAAGGTATTTACGTTGTATGCTAGATTCAGGGTCAACAAAGTCATTCATCTTACGAGAAGTGGTTGATTCACTGGGGTTGAAAATTATTAATAAAAAAGCGCTTATTACTCGTATTTTCACATTTGGATGCAAAGATGCAAAAGAGCGCTTGTATGATATCGTAGAAATCGTATTGCAAAATGTAAGCCATCCCAGTAAAAAGATAAAAATTAACGCAATAGTCATTGATTCTATAACACTAGGGCAAGTAAAAGTTCCTTCTCGGTGGATACGAAAGATGGCGTTTGAGAAGGGAATAGAATTAGCAGATGCTGGTACGAGTGACGAAATTCAAGTATTAATAGGTTCGGATTATATTTGGGAAATTTTAGGAGAACGAAACGTGAAGATTTGTAAAAAATTAGTCGCAACAGAAAGCACTTTCGGTTTTGTGATTCAAGGCAAGGACGAAGGATCAAAGTGTAAGGACGCAAGAGTTAATCATATAACCGTTGTAAATGAGGACTTAGATTATGAAAGAGTTAAAAAATTATGGGAATTAGAAGCAATTGGGATAAGTTCGGATAAAGAAATTTTAGAGTCATTTGAACGAAATACAACTTACAAGAATAAAAGGTATGAAACTCGATTATTGTGGAAAGAAGGTGTTGAAGGTTTAAATAACAATTATGAAATCGCAAAACAGTGTTTACAATTTTTAAATAATAAGTTTCAGAAAAATAGCGAGCTATATTTAAAATATAATGAGATAATTAATGAACACTTGAGAGATGGTATAGTGGATACGTATTTAAATGGTAATTTGAAAATGGGGTATTACATGCCTCATCACACGGTAGTGCGCGAGCAGAAGGATTCTACAAAGGTTCGAATAGTTTTTGACGCTTCTTCTAAAAGTAAGGGAAATTTATCACTTAATGATTGTTTGGAAAGCGGACCTAATTTAAATGCTGATTTGCTAAAGATTATCATTAAGTTCAGGGTACATTCAATTGCGTTTTGTGCCGACATTCAGCGTGCATTTTTAGAGGTAGGCTTAGCTAAAGAAGATAGGGATTTTTTAAAGTTTTTGTGGATAAATGAAGAAGGGTCAAATCTCGATCACAGTAATTCCCAACTTACAAGTTCTTCCAACACAATCGAGTTCCTTTCGGGGTCAAGTGCTCACCTTATTTATTAACAGCTACAGTAAGACTGCATTTAAAAAAGTATGAAGATGCCTACGAAGAGGCATGCAGTATGTTAAAAGAGCTTTACGTAGATGATTTAATTTCTGGGACAGTTAATGTAGCAAAGGCCTTACATTTAAGCAAGGACATGATTTTCATTCTTAGCGAGGCCAGTATGAATTTACGTAGATGGGTTTCAAACTCACCTGAGCTGAATGAACTATGGAAACTTAATGGAATTGACTCTCGTGAAACATCTGAAGACTCTTTGGTACCGTTGAAAGTTTTAGGTCTTATCTGGGACAATGTCAATGATAATTTGAAAATAGATGTATCTCAGTTTGAGAAGTTACAAAATCTCAAAGTAACTAAACGCATCATTTTAGCAGCATGTGGTATGCTCTTTGATCCCTTAGGAATTATGAATCCATTTACTGTTCGAATTAAACTCTTAATGCAAACTATGTGGGAAAAGGGTATTCAATGGGACGAAAGTGTTCCCCTTGATACAGAATTCATATTTCAGGAATGGTTAAAAGAAGTTGAAAAAATAAAGTTTTTCGAAATTCCCAGACAGTACTTCAGTGATATGTGTTGGAAGTTTATAGAAGTTCACATATTTTCTGATGCCAGTCCCAAGTGTTATGGTGCCGTAGCATATTTTAGATTTAAGAAGAAAAATAAATGTAAAACAAGTTTCATAGTGTCGAAATCCCGTTTGGCTCCATTAAAAAGGGTAACACTCCCTAGGCTTGAACTTTTGGGAACATTAATTTCTGCAAGATTAGGTTCGTATTTGCAATCGATATTTCCGCAGTTGGATAAGGGAAATATATTTTACTGGACTGATTCCCAAATTTGCATTCACTGGATCAAGGGATCTGCCAACGAGTGGAAACAATTTGTTAGAAATCGTGTGGTAGAAATCAAGGAGAAAACAATTTTAAACAACTGGTACTTTTGCAGTGGGAAGACAAACCCTGCTGATAAACTTACGAGGGGGATGGATGCTGAAGCTCTAATTAATGATAGTGATTGGTTTTTCTGGGCCACCCTGGCTTTCAGAAGTAGATATTCGACATCACATAAACGAAATGAATACCGAAGCTGACTTGCAAAACGTTAGTGAAGAACGTAAATGTGTTACTTTGAAAACACTTGTGGAATCTACAGAACCGTTACTAAATCTTGAACTGTACGGAAATTTAACCAAAGTACTGGGAATAATGGCTTATGTTCTGCGCTTCGTGAACAACTGTAAATCCGCTCGTGAAAAGCAATCTGGTGTGCTTACCGCCTATGAGTTACGGAAGGCTTCAGAATTTATTATAAGAAATGTTCAACTTAATGAATTTTCAGAAGAAATTAAGGCTTTAAAGACAGAACAACCGATTAAAACTAAAAGCAAAATCATTTCACTTAATCCATTTCTAGATGAAAACGAAATTTTAAGAGTAGGAGGTAGATTAAGAAACGCAGAAATTACCAGAGAAAGTAAACATCCCATTATATTGCCAAATAATAATCACTTCACAAAATTAATGATACAGCATATATCACGAAAAACATTTACACGGAGGGTTGCATTTAATGTTATCCGCAATAAGACAGAAATACTGGATAATAAGTGCAAAGAATGAAATTAAAAAATGCATTTGGAAATGCATAAAATGTTGCAGAGTACGAGCAGTAACATCTATTCAATTAATGGGAGAACTACCTGCAAGTAGAGTGATTCCAAGTAGAACCTTTTCAAAGGTTGGCGTTGATTATGCCGGCCCATTTTCTGTGAAAATGAAAAGGGGAAGAGGTATAAGACCAATTAAATGTTATATCTGTATTTTCGTTTGTTTAGCTACAAAGGCTATCCATTTAGAGATTGCTAGCGACTTATCAAGTGAAGCATTCCTAGCTGCTCTAAAACGATTTGCTTCGAGGAGAGGAAAACCTCAAGAAATAAGAAGTGATTGTGGAACTAATTTTATAGGTTCAAATAAAATCCTCAAGGAAGCAGTTTCATCTGTCCAGTCAACCTCAGAATTTCAAAGGTGGTTAGCAAATGAAAACATAAGGTGGATATTCAACCCGCCAGCTGCTCCACATCATGGTGGTATATGGGAGGCAGCTGTTAGATCTATGAAGCTGCATCTAAAGAAATGTGTTGGAACTCAAATTTTGACTTATGAAGAGTTTCTAACTCTAATTGCACAAATTGAAGCATGCTTAAATTCGAGGCCAATAACACCGGTCTCCAGTGATCCCAATGATTTGACAGCTTTGACTCCTGGACACTTTATTATAGGGACTTCTTTAACAGCTGTTCCGGAACAAGATTTAACCGAAGTACGAGTGTCTCCATTGCAAAGATGGCAACTAACACAGCAGATGTTCCAAGGGTTTTGGAAGCGGTGGTCTAAAGAGTACCTGTGCCAACTACAGCAGCGTAGCAAATGGAGACAGCCTAGCAGAAATATTCGTCTAAATGACTTGGTTCTCATTAAAGAAGATAATATGCCTTCATTACGTTGGAAACTCGGGCGAGTAATAGAAGTGTTTCCTGGAAGAGACAATAATGTCCGAGTGGTTAGACTAAAAACTGTGCACGGGGACATTAAACGTCCTATTACCAAACTGTGTCTTTTACCAGTTGAAGAACATTAACTTAAGTGTTTGTTTCATATTGAATATGTTTTATTATTATTTTCATTTCTTATTGTACTAATAATTTTATTTGTTTGTTCTAGTTTAACCCTCATAGTTAACGTTTCAATATAGTAAGATATAAGATGTTTTGCTAGAAGATTGGTAAGTGTAACATGTAATTTTATACTTTTTGAAGGTTTTTGTATGTTTTCAGTTTCTATATTTTTCATTTACTTGTTTGCATATATTGAAGATTGTATTAAGATGAATGTAATTCATCGGGGGGGAGGATGTTTTGGCCTCCTCGGTGATTGCGGTGATTTGTGCCCAGAGGGCGCACCGCACAAAAAGTTAGTTGCGTTACAGAACGTAAGGGAAGCGGACACGCCAAAATGTCGGGCGTATTACCGCTAATTGAGGTAATTGCATCGTATCTGTCAGGTGGCAGAAAACTAGGTATGATGTATCAATTCACATGCCAGGTGGCAGAATATGTCTATCATGTACATGCCAGGAGGCATAACACTTGTAAACATGCCAGGTGGCATACGACTTGTAAATAAATTGTAAATAAATGTACAGTAAAATATCTTGGTGCAATAGATCAAGGAACACGCATCAACAACCTTCTGATCATTGGATACGTACATTAGCTGTATGTTGCTCATGGCTTGCGAGTTAAGCATGTCTGCTTTAAAGTATTGAGAAATTTTAAAAAATATGCAATAAAACAATTTTCCAGAGAAAAATAATTAAGAATAAGATTAGAAAAGAAAAATATCTTTTCCAATTTTACTTTTTTCACAAAGCAGTACAAAAATTTATACAAATATCTATTTGCAATCAATCAAGTAAATTTCACTCACCCTGGCTAATGCACCTGAGATAACCAGCTGTTGTTTTGGAGGGCTGGAAAAAGTATGAAAAAATTTCACTCAGATGTAAGTAAAATATACCATAAATATAGAGCAATAAAGAATGAACATTACTAATTTAGATATAGGTAGATCTGCTACAAAAAGCAGTTTTTCTGCATTTATTCTAAACTGTTAAAGACTGCACATACAGCCATTATTATAAAAAAGTAAAATGTTCCAAAATATTGTTTTACAGCAGCATTTTCTGAAATTGGTTACAACCTAACAAATCTTTTAAACTGTAATGATAAAAAAAATTAGTAATCATAATAAAAATGGTAATTATAAAAAATAGGTACTTTTCTGTTTTGCCGGCGCAAGCGATAAAGTCGCCAGTAATGGTTCAACCGATGTCAAACGAAATATCCTCGCTGGTAACCTTTAACTTTTACATTTTCAAAACAAGTCGCAGCCATTTCTTATCAGATTGATTGTTTGTTTCTTTGAATACTGGCATACAATTACACAGAATTTTTACCAGATAGTTCAATTTTATGCCCTAAGGCCCTTCGCAGGCGGTAATTAAGTCAATTAGGATGCAATCACACCGCTCACCGGATAGCGAAAATATAGAAAAGGCAAAGTCAAGAGTTAAATTCATCAATTCTAATTAGAATGCACTAGCGAAGTAAAGTACTACGGATTTACAAAATTTCCGAGTAAGCTATTCGTACGAATTGAAATAATTCTGTCATTTAAACTTGTATTCCAAATTAAGATTTAACTTGAAATTAATGTAGATAATTACGGAGAGAATTAGATTTTTGTAACATAGTTTACGTGAGATGAGATCACTTGGGGTCATGTGATACGAACCGGTGAATCAGGATGTTGTACAATGAAAGAATAGTAAATTCTTAAATTAATGTTTTTTTAAAAAATTTATTGTCATTATTTATTGGCTTTTTTACAAAATTTTAAACGGCATTAAAATATTTATACCTTCAAAATAAAAAAATTCTTAGAATTAACATTTGTCAACATTTTTTATGTGTATACTATGCGTTTTCGCCAATAAAGTCTGCTTGGCGAGATTTGTGCCTGCGAAATGGAAAAGTACCAAAAAATAATGTTTCACTGTTTTGAAAAAGAGTCTGAATTATTGACAATACTTTTTTCATATGAAGTTAATTCTTAAATGTTAATTGCAATGATAGCTCATTCAAGCTAAAGCTAATATTCAACTGACAAAGTTATAATATGGTTAACACAATAAAATTACCTGAATCTCTTTTAAGACTGCATTCAAAGTTTTGATACAAACATTGATATAAAAAGAAATTAAATACCAGTGTGTATGAACAAGTTTTGCAGCACTTTTATATCCAAAATGCATTATATAGAATTTTCAGATTTATATGAAGATTATCTTGGGTGAAATCTTTACCGACTTACATCAAGTAACGACTTACAAATTTCAATATGATCATTCTTAAATTACACTTTTTTTTTCGGAACTTACATAATTTCCTGTTGACCATGAAGGTTGGCTATCATCAAACCATGGCTGTGATCCCGCTAAATTTACGCCAATCGTTCCAGGGGATTCTGAAGAAACTGGAGCCTCTTTGGTTTAACCCTCTGAGTGTTATAACCGGCTTTATCCGGTCATCAGAAGTTTTGCTACTTGGCATATATTAGCTTATAATTTAAGATATTATGCTTTCTTACTTCCTTTAATAATGTAAATATTTTAATGATTGTAAGTTTATGAAAATACAGACTAAAAATAAGTAATTATAAAAACTGAATGAATAAATGCTGTTTAAATACCAGTCTTCATGATGGATCTAAAAAAATCCTGTGCCGCTCGAAGGGTTAATAAACAATCAGTTCCTTTTAAAGGGCTTTTATTGATTTCTACTACTTTGTTAGGTACCATAATTTTACAAAAAAGCTCTGTTTAGAATGCCTAAGTAAAAATTTCCTGCGGGTAATTGTTCCAATCTATTATTGCTTTGTTGACCATATTGTGTCGATTAAATCACACATTTTTTTGATGGAAGGATTCTATAACTTTGAAAATAATCCATTGCTTGCTGTTCTGCAAAAAGCAGGTCCCAAATGTTAATCTTTTTTTAATGCAAGATAAATACAGCAATAACAGTTAATTTATATCCTTGCTGATAAAAAACAAAAAACATGGCTAATCAAGAGTCAATTGATACTACATCAAATAAAAATGAAGATACTATGAGTGTGTTATTACTTCATGTTGATCCACAACTAGTAGTAAATTGCACTGCTTCACAATATTTTCATTTTGATGGGCTTACACACAAGTACTTTTTTATATATTTAATTTTATGCTTTATAAAAAGGTCTCTATTTTCACTTGTGTAAATAGCAAGATGTAATTTTAAATTAGAACAAAAAGTATTTTCTCAGTTTTCAGAATTTTTGACCATATTTAAATTGAGCTTAATAAATATATTTTACAAAACATAACATTCAACATGAAAGGAAAAAAAAAATTGCAAATCTGTCTTATTTTTTTAACAAATACTAAGCTTATAGGCATATTAAAAACCGTGTAACCCTATTTTGAATTGTACGGCCATTGCTGCAACTTATTTCATTTTAATAAAAAGAAATAGTTATTAATATTTAGCTTTAATTCAATATCTGTTTTGTAAAAATTACATAATTCAATCATAAATGGAATACAAACAGAGAAATAATTTAATGTTTATTAAAACTGATTTCTTACAAATAATTTATGTGATTTATGTCCTGAAATTTGTCACAATCAAACATATTTCTCATATAATATTTTACTTATAATGTTCAATTTCTGTAAATGGAGCTATCTGAATGATTACATCTTAATTTAGAAAATATGTTTATTAAATACCTTATATAGTATCCTGGCGACCATGAAACTATCACCAAGCAATGCGATTTAATACCAATTATGGATAGACACGATGACACAACACATACTCATAACATCTGTGTTTTCATTTGATATAACCCTGACTGATTCTTGATACATTTTTCATTTTTTCATAAATAAGGATATAAATGAATTGTTATTGCTGTATTTTTTACAAGCATTTTGGAAAAAAAAATAGTTCAAGGATTGTAGAATCACATTTATGCATTTTGGTTAACTTTAGACAGTTCGGAGAATTAATAACTGTTTCATGGGAAAAGGAAATGTTTATCCTCAAAGTAACGATTATACCCGAGTGAACTGCGTCTTTTGTTAATGACACAATATCTCAAACTCATAACTATCAAATTAATAACCAACTCATATCACCAGTCATGTGGCTACACTGCCGAGGTGCAGGTATAAACATAAAGCCTGGCATTGCAATGCATTAGCATTCGGTCAATTGTAATTAGGATATATAGCATTCGGTCAATTGTAATTAAGATATATACAAACAAATTAAAAATCATCAAATCATAACCTGACATTAAACATATAAATCAAAAATAAAACACAAGATTCAGTTATACAGAACTGAATTTCATGTTTCATGTGATGTATAATAACATTAAAGAAATTACCTGGGTGTCACTACTTCTTCTTCTTCCTCTTCATCACTTTTTTTTGTTTCTACAGGTTTTTCATGCGACTGCACTTTATGCTGTGTTATTCGCATTCCTCCAGCTTTCACTATGGTAATTAAAATATCTCAAATGATGCTTAATTTTTCAAAATTGTAAATAATATTTTAAATGTTATACCATGTAGTCAAAAGTTAAAAACACTGATGCCATTTTTTAAAATTACAGTAATAATAATAAAAAGTTGGACCGTTTTTTTAAATTGTTATCATACCCTCCCCCAAAAAGTCACCGACACAATGCCGGCTAATTTTCCCTCCAGATGCAAAATGCAACAGGCATTTTGAAAATACTAAGAATTCCATAAAAGAACAACGAGTCAATAAAATTAAAAATGCATAAAATGTCTATACTAAAACACCTTATCAAAGAAATACTTATGCTTTTTTTTATACTGTTGTTCCTACCCCCATATACACCGTGATCCGTTTTTGCTTCACAAAATATCAAAATTGTGCAAAGTTGGTATATTACACAAATTTGACATTACACATGCTCCTATTTTCCTTAAGCACACAGCAATCTATTTTCGCTTTAAAAGAATTAGAGAATTGCATATATCCACAAATTAAATTGTTTAAGTACAACTTCATAGAATGCAAACTTTTATGTTCTCTATTGTTGAGCAAAATGCCATATTTCTGAAGAAATTCAGTGCTTCCTTTTTTATCAGCTGGCAAACTCCAGTCCCATAATGATAGATTACAAGGGGAAACACATACTCAAAGCAAACACAAATACAAGTTATAAAATATCAAATTTGAAGGAAGAAAACTGCACTTGTTGACTGCACATGCACAATAGGTTTCTGCATAAATACATTTTGCCAATGTCATGGATTGTCTATTTTGGTGGATATAGTGCAATAATGCATGAATACATTTCATGGAAGTACAGATAACCAGAAGGAACTGCTTAACTGAAACAGAAAAACTAGGGCAATATAATGTGGAAATTAAAACAAACAAATTTAAGTTTTTTATATGCTTTATCCATAATGTTTATCTTTTGATTATCTAACTAATAAAGAGCAATCAGTTTTTTTCTTTTTTTTTTTCAAACGTTGACTGAATGATTATGCAAGTTTGGCATAACCTCTACCACTTATGAGGTAAAAATATATTTGTGGGTGCCCCTTGGCGATAATTGGAGATTTGTGGTGGTACATGGACACTGAGTTTGTATATTTCTTTGACTTGTTATTTTGGCTTTGTGTAGCCGTGATTTTTCCCTAAAAATCACCGCTATAAAAATTCAAAATAACAAGTCAAAGAATTGCACAAACTTGGTATCCATGTACACATCAACCTATTTTTACTTTAAAAAAAATATGAGAGAATTGCAGAAACTAGGCATTGTATGCTCCCTTGTCCATGTACACGTCCAAGTACACGTCAATACGTATAAACTTAAAAAGTCAAAGGAGCAACCAACAAAAAATATATAATCTCAATTACTACATTTTAAATCAAACAATGAAATAACATAAAAAAGGAAATTCATCTTAGCACTACACAAAGGAAATATTCACTTATTTACGTGTCTTCTGTCAAACAAAATTCCTTACTCCAGCATCCAAAAACTTCCTAAAATATAAAAACAATCTGAACAAGAATCCGTATAATGGGGTCGCCACATATATTCACAAAAATATCCTCCATATTGGCAATAGTGTCCGACGTCCAACCATACGTATTTCCTTCCCATAAACAAAACACTTAATAATGGCTACTAAAGTAAACTTTCATTTACACATCATTCAATTAATGCTTTTTTCCCTTTCGTTTCAAATCGTACAGAAACTTCAAATTAATCTTACCAACTTCAGCCATTTTACCGTGTAAACCACAAAATAACAACGTACTTCTTACCCAAAATTCGACACACACTTTCAAAATATTTTCCCACAATTTCAAATGACGGCAATCACGCAATCAATTACGTCATAATACGATTTCCATTACATTCAACTACTCAGGTTACCAAACACAAAACAACAACTTGGCGATAAATGAAACAACTTAACGATAATCCAACTGACACCCTTAAATCTACTCTAACCACTTATGGTCAATGGGATTCATAACTAATGCGATGTTTTACATTCATATGTTAAGGCCAATAAAAATACATTGGCTTTTCTGTCAAAATGTTACATGATGTTAAACATAGGTTTTTGATATGCGAGTTAATGACAAATAACGATTTTTTGTAATTTTAGACCATAAATAGCTTTTTCAATTCATTTGGCTTTTCTATCCTGATCTACAAATTTTATAAACCCAACTACCTGGAATTTTTCTTTCGGCATTTCCCAAGATTTCTGGATAGACGAGTTTTTACCATACAAGGTGATGAATCATAAATTGGTAATATTGGGAAGAAACTATTTACAAATGATGTAAATGGTTCTCAACATTGAATTTTAAGACCTTTCAATACATAAAATATATGCTATGTTATGTAATGTGAACATCTGTCTGTCATCTTCAGTTACCACAACATTTATTATTGCTACATTAAAATTTCTATCTTAGATAATACAGAAATAGGTTGATCTTTACATTATGGTAACTTGGCGTTTTTTTGGCGAAAATTTGGCGACCAACTCTCCTACATCAACCCTCTATTTTTTTTTCCCCGCCGCCCTTTTGTCTTCACGAAGTAAAGACATGTTTCTTTTCTTTTTATCTACTGAACATTCTTCCAACAATCTACTAGCCGAATTACACTTATGCTAGAAATTTTATCTAACAAAACTGCTTAATCATGACAAATATTCACTGCAAAAATCGGGAAAAAGTGCACAATACCATACTCCTTACGCGTTTTTCAAAATAACACATACAAATAACCATGTACACGCCGACTTATTTTTACTTAAAAAAAACATCCCAGAATTGCACAAAAATGGCATTGCGCACACTCTTCACTATATCCTGTACACTGCTTTTTTCTCATAAATTAGAAAAAAATTTCACGAAAAGATGGACAATTTTCTGAATCTTTAAACCGGTAAAAAGAACATATATGAAATTACCTGATCGCGAAAAGTTATACCCTTTACAAATATGAACATTTCCATATATAAAATAAATAAATATCCAAAACTTTTACCTCTAATCATCTATTATATTATACACGTCAACAACGAATTCATACCGCAAGCATTACAAATACTTAGTGTCAAATATTTAATTATTTCCATGCACGTTTACTTCAACTTAAAAGTATACTAAATTCCTACAAACATAAAATTCACAAAATAACTATCATTTAATTAAAATACACTAACCATGTACAAGCGACTTATTTTTACTTAAAAAAACATCCCGAATTGCACAAAATGCATTGCGCACACTCTTCACTATATCCATGGACTGCTTTTTTTTCTCTAAATTAGAAAAATTCACGAAAATGCATAACAATTTTCGAATCTTTAAACCCGGTAAAAAGAACATATATGAAATTACCTGATGCGAAAAAAAAGTATAACCCTTTCCAAATATGAACATTTCCCCGTATAAATAAATAAATATCCAAAAACTTTTACCTCTACATTATCTATTATATTACAAACGTCACTAACTAATTCATACCGCAAAACATTACAAATGGTTAAAATACTTACTGTCAAATATTTAAATTATTTCCATGCACGATTACGCAATTACTTTACTTCCACCTTACATTTAGAACAATGCATAAAAATATATCCTCAAATAATTAAAAATACTAACTTACCTATTCTTCTTCAGAATCTTGATTACGTGGTCGGATAAACTTTTCTTATTTCTGTTCAATCTTTAAAATCATACTTATAGTTCACAGCAAGGTACCAGGTAAAATAAATAACTTATAAAACATCTTACTTCTATCTCGCACACCTTAAAGAAACACTTATTATCCCTTTCATCCCACTAAATACCCATTTCGAATTCACTTAGTTAGGGCCATGGGATCCAAAAATTACGAACACTGTTTCACACAACACAGAATAAGCCAAATACAAAATTTCCACATTTTTCCCCATTTCCCCCCCCTTTTCTGATTAAGAACCGTAATTCGTCATTAATATCACATGACATATCCCATGATCTTTTATTTCCCTCACACAAAATAATGCGTAATCGGAACTGAGTACTGCTCATATTATTACCAAAGTCCCAGATAGTAACCTTTATCGCCTCCAAAATGTCGCCAAACTACCAGTTACCATATTCTAAAGATCAGCCCAGAAATATGGTTAACAGTATGTAAAATAACTAAAATTTTGCCATTGGTACCTGATTTGAATGCCTCTCTGAAATCGCAAAAAAAATGACAATTTCTAAAAATTTTTCATTACCCGGAGGAATTATTGAAAGCTAACCAAATGAATCAACTTCAACCTTAACTCTTTCGCCGTCTTCTCCTATCTGTGAAAATTTTCCCCCAGCAGCCGTCTGTTTTTCGTATTTGTAATGTTTTTCTCTACATAACTTTCCATACATGACTTCGTTGTGATGATGTCAATGAATACTAGTACAATTATAAGGAAATAAAGCATAATCAAAATAAACCTCTGCTTATTTCTAACAGCAGGATAATTTGATAACATCTGATCCAGGCAGCCCACTTTTCCCCTTTTTTTGTTGTAATCTTTTACAATGATTGTTTTTTTTTTACAGTTCTTTTCCGTGTTCCAAAATCAATAATCGAGTTATTATGGACCGTACTCATTAAGCGTATATCCTTCTTGTCTTTCCAATTCAAAACCTCATTTTTTTCTCTTTTTCTGCTAAGTAGACGTTGAAGCCATCTCTCACTGTCTTGCATCTTATGTAAAATGGCACGAATATAATATTTATAAAACCAGGGGCAAATTCAATTAGAAATAGAATGCCTGATTAGTGCTGCCCTCTAGGAAGTATTAGAACAAACAAAATTAAAAACTCAAAGAAGTAAACATTTAGAAAGCGTTTTAAACGTTTAAAAGTTTTTAAATGTAGAAGAATGCTTGAAGTGCATTACGGCCGTCCTGCAGAAGTTTCACTTGAACATGCTACG